CAAGAACTCAGAGCTTGATCCTCTTTTTTTCATCTTTATTCATCCCGCTAGTGATATTATTCAGTTATGTGGTTATAAATATCATTTATGTGCTCCCAAATTTTCATCTACAGGCCAAATCTCTCTCCCAAATTCCAAATTCATAAATACAACTGCTTGCTCAATATCAACCCAGTATGTCTAATAAACACTATAAGTTTAATATGTCCAAAACTGAATTCTCAATTTTCTGCCACCCCAAATTTAGCTCCATCTAAAGTTTCTCCTATCACAGTTCATTTTATATACAGCCTTCTATTTGCTCAAGTCAAAAAATCCTAGCATTATCTTCAACTCTTCATTTTTTTTCTTCCTTTACATCCAATCACCAGGAAAGCTTGCTGGTTCTCCACTTAAAAACTTATCACTATTAGCCATGGTGGCTCATGTCTATAATCCTACCACTTTGGGAGGCTGAGTCAGGAAGATTGTTTGAGCCCAGGAGTTTGAGCCTAACCTAGACAACATCGTGAGACTTGTCTCTACAAAAAAAAATTAAAATTAAAATTAACCAGATGTAGTAGTGTACCCCTGTAGTTCCAACTACATAGGAGACCAAGGGACAAAGATTGCTTGAGCCCAGGAGAGGTCAAGACTGCAGTGAGCCATGATTATGCCACTGCATTCCAGCCTGGGTGACAGAGTGAGACACTGTCTAATAAAAAAATTTTAAAAATCGTACCACTGTCCAAGGGTTAGGGTTAGGGTTAGGGTTACCAAGGCTACCACCCAAGCTTCCATTGGATCTCACTGGATTATTGTCATAACCTCCTAACTGGTCTCCATGTTTCGCTACCTGACAGTGTATTCTCAGTACCACAGATAATATAATTCTTTTGAAATGTAAGTCACATCAACTCGCCAATCAAAATCCTGCAATGGCTACCCATTTCATGTGAAACAAAAGCCAAAGCCTTTACAATGGCCTACCACGAAGCCCTGATACCTCTCTGATCTAATCTACTGCTTCTCTTCCACTTGCTTACTTCACTCCAACTACTATAGCCTTCTTATTATCCCTTGAACTTGCCAATAACTTTCCTATCTTCAGGGCTTTGCTCTAGCTCTAATCTCTACCTAAAATGTTCTTTCTCCTTCAATGATAACTTACCCTCAAGATGTTGCTCTAAAAAGAAAACCAACCTGGAACATCAACCAGACTCCTGATTTCCTTAGCCCAAGTAGCTTTTCTTCTCCCCATAGCATTCACCAGCTTTTACCACACTATAATATTTACTTATATATTTTATTATGTATTATTTCCACATTACAATGTAAGAAAAGATCTTTGTTGTTGTTGCAATTGTTGTTCACTGATTTATTCCAAAGGCTTAAATCACTGCCTGACCCAGAGTAGACACTCAATAAATATTGTGAAGTTAATAAACAAATTGTCTTCATAGGACATCTTGTTCTAACTTTTTACATCTCTTAATTAAAAACTAATAATCATTGTTTGCTACCCAGATATTTTAATAATAACAGGCAGGCAATAAACATTGAATATTTCCTAAGTACCAATGTTCTAAGTACTTTGCATGCTCATTTAATCTTTACAACATGCCTATGAAATAGGTGCTATTACTGTCCCCACTTTACACAGAAAGCCAAGTAATTTGCCCAAGGACATAGCTATTAAGGGGAGAGCCAGAATGGGAACCCAGACAGTCTGTAAACATACATCTTAACTAAGGCTCAACTGCTCTTCCTAAAGACCTTGAAGAAGCAGCCCTAGGAAAATAGCTGTACTTGCTGAATGAATTAGAAATACTCACATAAGGCTTGACAGCAAGGCATTCAAGTTCTAGTAGGTGTTACAACTGAAAGGTAATGTTGAATTGATTCAACATAAGGAAACAAAGAAGCAATGAGAAAAACTAGAAAGTCAGCGAGGAGGGAGAAAAAAACAAAAGGATAGAGCATATGCATAGTAACAGAAGAGATATTAATAATATATATTTATAATAATATAAACCAGAAGATTTATTAATAATATATATTTATAATAATATAAACCAAATAAGACAGAAACTCAGACAAACATTCATTTACAAGAAATTTCAAGTCCTAAAAGAATTATCTGACACTCTTAAAATAGGATTCTGTGAGTCTTGTGTGTTTGTAATGATCCTATTGTTTGAGTGAATTTGTGTTCCATGATATAAAATCATCTCCAACTAAAACAATTTTCATGTTACTATGGACCTCCTTTAAAATTTCTATCTTTGTTAGGATTAAATAATTAAATTAATACACATGGCAATACAAATAGTACAAGTAAATAGGTTTAAAAAAACCTAGATTTATGTCCTATTTCTACCATTTTGCTAGCTGTGTGACCTGGGGTGATGCCTCTGAACTTTAATTAAGCCATCTATAAAATGGGATAATAACACATGCCCAGCTTGCTTCAAATGTTACTGTACTAAATGAAACTGCATTTGTGAGTAGGCTTTGAAGAATATAAATTGCTCCACAAATGTTACCTATTATGATGATGAATCCAGATGTGAACTTACTTTAGTTATTATAAAGGATATAAAGTCTCTTCTTTCCAAAGGTGGGAAAGAATAGTTATTCAAAGCATTTCTGGATGATGATGAAAAAAATCACTTTGTGTGTATATGTCTATACATAAACATATTACCATAATAGCCAAAATAAATAAATGTGTGTGAATGTTCCTTCCTTCATATACAAAGATACTGAAAGTACATTTTCCTAAAAACACTCAATGACTAAAGAATAACATTCAATATTCAATGAAATCATTCAAAGAACTATATGGTTCTTCCTTGATAAGCTCCTACTGGTTCTCCTTATCATTACCGGATCTGTACAGCACTTCCTAACAACGACATCAGGAAAACCCAAGCTGAGAAGTTAGGCATTTCTATTAAAATGTCACAGTAAACCAACAGCACAAACACAATTGAACTCAAGGATCTTCTGAGGTCAAAGCTGTCTCTAACAGACCATGTTCTTACAATGCTACTTGTTTTAAAATGGTTCTTAAGAGACTGCCAAGTTGAATGGCATAAGAAGAGTAATATCAAGAGTTATAATGAAGAGAGAGTTCACAAAATAATAAACTTCCTGTCCTAGCTAGGATTCTGAAATAGATCACAATATAATCTAACAAGAGTAGGAGGGCTACCTTCATTCCAACTTTCCTTTTCTACAGCCTGATTATGAAGGAAGTTAGCCCACTTTCAAAAGCACAAAGGCAATATCTAATATTCCTAAAGGAATTCGATATTAGCTTCTAAAGGAAGTTCTGCAAAATAAGAGGACTATCCTAACTAATGTCTAAGGTGACTTTCAACTGAAAAAACTATTTGCTATAAGTAGAACGTAGTCACTTCCAATATCCCACTGGTAATATATTTTTTAATCTTAACACAGAAAAAGAGAAAATGACTCCAAAGTCAGAAGTAGATGCTCACCTGGCATCCAGCTGCCTTTACCTATAGGTCTGTATCATTAACCACTTGCTGAATTTCACAATAATCCTTGACAGCATATATTTAAAAGTGTCAATTTTTCCTAGAGCAACTGACTTTCAAACGACACTAACTCTACAGGCAAAACAGATGGCCAACAGCCTTTCCTTTTCCCTGTGGAAAAAAAGGTTTTCTAAACTCTTACTTTTGGTACTGTAACATCCAGTGAGTGATATGTTGAAACTACTATACAGTCCTAGGCTTCTAAGAGAAAATTTTTTTTTTTTTTGAGTGGGAGTCTCACTCTGTCGCCCAGACTGAATAGCTGGAATTACAGGCATGCCGCCCGGCTGATTTTTTGATTTATTGTAGAGATGAGGTCTCGCTGCCCAGGTGGGTCTCGAACCCGCGGGCTTAGGAAATTCACTCACCTCAGCCTCCCAAAGGTGTAGGATTACAGGCTGAGCCACCGAGCCCAGAGAGAAAATTTTTTTAAAAACTTCACATCTTTCTAAATTTTCGGAGTATACACTAATGGGCCAAATCTTCAGTTTGCCAAGAAACTACTCTCAACATATGTACAATGCCACTCCTCTATGAGACTGAATAAACTTCCACAGAAATGTGACTATTACCTTTCTCACACATTTCCTCAATTCCAAATCCCTAGTCCTTTCACCAAACAGAACATATGTTAACAAAGACCGATTTACCGTTCACACACAAGATATCTAAAAAATAAAGGCTGAGTCTAATATTGACCAAGAACTATGAGTGCCAATATCCTTGGCTCCTATAATTGATAGATGTAGGCAAAATGTGTTTTCATATTCTATGTTATATGAGAACTACCAGTCATTAGGATAGAAACCCGATGTTGGCTATATTCTCCAAATAAAATTTTTAAAATATGATTATTAGCAAGTAATTTAAGTTCAGTCCAACATCTTCAGAAAAAAAAAGTGAAAACAATGAAAGAGAGACAGAAAAGAAATTAAAATTTTTTTAAAAAATAATAGATTACTCAAAGGTGACCAAAGAAAAGAAAAGGTATTTCAGTTTTTACTTTCATCTTTAAGAGCCTATCAGACCATGATAGACCATGTGAGAAATGTGGAAAGTCATATTAATTCACACATAAGCCGGGCGTGGTGGCTCACAACTGCAATCCTGGCACTTTGGAAGGCAGACTGAGAGGATTGCCTGAGTCCAGAGGTTCGAGACCAGCCTGGGCAACTTGGCAACATCTTGTTTCTACAACAAATGAAAAAATTTGCCAGATGTGGTGTTGTGCACCAGTGGTTCCAGCTACTTGGAAGGCTGAGGTGGAAGGATCACCTAAGCCCAGCCGGTCACGGCTGCTGTGTTCATAATCATGCCACTGCACTCCAGCCTGGGCGACAGAGTAAGACTTCTACTCAAAAAAAAAAAAAAAAAAAAAAATTCACACTTAAGGCCCAGAGCTTAGAACATCCATTCACATATTGGTGTGGCTGCCTTCACTAAGAGCAGCTTTACCTCAGTAAGCCCAATATTCTTCCTTTTAATGACATTCTGCAGAGAGTTGCTCAGAGTCCTGGTTAGCAACAGGTTTGTTGATTTACGAATCATGTCATCAACTTCAGTCGAGCTGAAAAAGATGTCAAGAGTCAGTCATACCAGGTAGCAAAATTATTTCGACAAATAAACAGGGTGCCAGTAGTACTTGTGGTATTAATAATAATAGCAGCAGCAGCAAATAATATTTGTTGTGACAGAAAAGATTTTTGTTGGTTTTAAGTTTTTACTTTATCTTCATTTTTTATAATTATCTTGCTGTTTATACAATACCGACTTGATTTTCTTTTTCTTTGAGTATTTTAAGGATGTCATTACATTGTCTCAGGCTTGCATAGTTTCAGACAAGGATCTGCTGTAATTCTAATCAGTATAACTTTATGTAAGTAATGTTTGTTTTTTCTGAATGGTTGCTAAACATTCTCTTTACCTTCCCTTTTTATCAGTTTGAATATATAACGTCTTTAAATATTTTTGTTTGTAGTAGTTGCTATTGTTTACCTGAATTAGGGTTCTCAAAACTTTAAATGTCTTGATGTCTTTCATTATTTTTTAAATACTCTCAGTTATTGTCTCGTAAAATATTTTTTCTTCCAAGTTAGCTCAGTTAGTCTTCTCCTTCTTGAATCTACTGTTTGAAATTTCCCCACAGATCTTGGGCACCTTGTTCTACTTCTTTCACCTATTTTTCTCTGTGTGTGTCTGTTTAAGTTAACCTCTACTGACCTTTCTTCAACTTCACTGAATCTTGTCTCAGCTATGTCAAGTCTACTGATGAGTTCTTTAAAGTAGCTCTTCATCTCTAAAACTATTTCTTATTTCAAGCATTTCTATTTGACACATTCCTATAATTTCCATTTGTTTGCTAAAACTCCCTATATGCTCAAGTATGTGGTATTTTAAAGTCTCTAACTGATAGTTCTTATCACTTGATCATTTCTGAATCTGGTGCTCATTTTATTGTCTCCTGGCAATGAGTTGCTTTGTATGTCCCATATTTTTGACTGAAGGCTTGACATCTTAAGAAAACAACAGAGGGAAAAGTTAACAGTTCACACTTGAAAATGACCATATCTCTTCTCTTATTGGGCCTCCTAGAGTAAGGAACTGAATCAATATAGATAGGAATTAAGCTGGGTTTGGGTTTTGTTGTAGCTGGTTACCCTCAGTGCCTATAGATTTCAAATTCCTCCAAAGATAGACTGGGCCTAGTACAGGTGCTAGCGTCCCAGAGCATTTCTCACAATATTTCTGCACAACTTTCAGCTATATTTGTATGCCTCTACCACCTATCTCTCTCTCTCTACATTCTTGCCCATCATCCAGTGGTGGATTGTTGCCACTTGCTACTCAGTTTTTGCTTTCATCCTGGCCGGCCTCAGTCTTAGGTAATGACCTCTATGCCTAGTGATCAAAGATGGATCTTGCTCAACATCCCTGACCCTTCTTCAGTGATGGCCAAACTCTGCTTTGTATCTGTAGTGGGTTTAGTTCAGCTTTTTTTGGCCTTTCTCCCAGTAGTAGAGGACCTCTTAACGGTATTGCTATAAGATCCTGGGCACAGAACTGTTTTCTGCTTTTTTCTCCCAGGGGTAGAAAGTAACCTTTTTTCTTTTAAATCCTTTCTACAGTAACAATGAGCGTTTTTCTATGACCTGTAGAAAGACAGGGTTTTCTGCTATTCGCCTATGCCACAAAGTTTTTGGTTTGTATAAGTGAAGAGCTTAAACAGGGGAGAAGTTGGACTTCATGCTTTTCTCACAACAGTGCTTGATCCCTTACTCCATGCCTACAATCATCAGTGGTTTTCACTGATTTCTCACCCAGCTACCAATCTTTCTCATGAGTCCTCAGTGGAGGTCCATGGAAAAGAACTTGGGAGTGAATGTAAATTCTTTCTGGGTTCTGGGACTCATAACTAGGGTTTCTATACCGTCATGCTAGCTCACACTAAACTGTTAGCAATCCATTAAGATTTTAGTTAATTTTCTCTTTCTCACTTGTATGTTGGTTACCCCTTTCACCCTAGTTCTGCCATGGGGTTGGGGGGGGGAGTCTGTGCGTCCTATCTTTCCTTAGAGGAACCAGTTCCATCTTGGGTATCCAGCTACTTAGCTGCCTTGTAATTTCAGCTCTCTGAAACATTCCAGTAAAGTTTTAATTTTGTAGCTTATCTGGTTCTCTTTCATTGTTAGAGAGGAAGTAATGCTCTTTTCAGTCTTCTATACTGTAAATTTTAAAAAGCATCTCATAGTAATTTGAGTTTTTTTGTTTGTTTGTTTTTTGAGTTGGAGTCTCACTCTGTCGCCCAGACTGGAGTG